AGCACGCGTACGAACGCCGCGCAGCTGTTTCTGCTCGCACGAGCGAGGTCGCGGGTCAGTCACGCTTCTTGCGTCGGTGAAACGGCCTAGTGAAGCTGAGAAGCTACTTGCACTACTCCTAGCCACTCACTTGAGCCAAAAGTATTGGCCCTTGAGCCAAAATCAGTTCATGCACAAGTGAAACACACACATGCAAACATGTTTACGGGCAAGGCTACTTAGGCTCACAAGTAACAGGTGCCTGACTAGTAGTAACAAGGTTGCTAGTAGTAACAGGTGCCACGCTACTAGTAACAGGTGCCACGCTAGTAGTAACAGGTGCCATGCTAGTAGTAACAGGTGCCTTACTACTAGTAACAGGTGCCTTACTAGTAGTAACAAGGACGCTAGTAGTAACAGGTGCCACGCTAGTAGTAACAGGTGCCTTACTACTAGTAACAGGTGCCTTAATAGTAGTAACAAGACGCTAGTAGTAACAGGTGCCACGCTAGTAGTAACAGGTGCCTTACTACTAGTAACAGGTGCCTTACTACTAGTAACAGGCGCCTTACTAGTAGTAACAAGGACGCTAGTAGTAACAGGGGCCACGCTACTAGTAACCGGTGCCTTACTACTAGTAACAGGCGCCTTACTAGTAGTAACAAGGACGCTAGTAGTAACAGGTGCCACGCTAGTAGAAACAGGTGCCTTACTACTAGTAACAGGTGCACGCTAGTAGTAACAGGTGCCACGCTAGTAGTAACAGGTGCCTTACTACTAGTAACAGGTGCCTTACTAGTAAAAACAAGGACGCTAGTAGTAACAGGTGCCACGCTAGTAGTAACAGGTGCCTTACTACTAGTAACAGGCGCCTTACTAGTAGTAACAAGGACGCTAGAAGTAACAGGTGCCACGCTAGTAGTAACAGGTGCCACGCTAGTAGTAACAGGTGCCTTACTACTAGTAACAGGTGCCTTATGAGTAAAGACAAGGACGCTCGCGAGGACGCTAGGAGTAACAGGTGCCACGCTAGTAGTAACAGGTGCCTTACTACTAGTAACAGGTGCCCTCTAGTAGTAACAAGGAGGCTAGTAGTAACAGGTGCCGCGCTAGTAGTAACAGGTGCCTTACTAGTAGTAACAAGGACGCTAGTAGTAACAGGTGCCACGCACACGGTAGTAGTAACAGGTGCCTTACTAGTAGTAACAGGGACGCTAGTAGTAACAGGTGCCACGCACACGGTAGTAGTAACAGGTGCCTTACTACTAGTAACAGGTGCCTTACTAGTAGTAACAAGGACGCTAGTAGTAACAGGTGCCACGCTAGTAGTAACAGGTGCCATACTACTAGTAACAGGTGCCTTACTAGTAGTAACAAGGACGCTAGTAGTAACAGGTGCCACGCTAGTAGTACCAGGTGCCACGCTAGTAGTAACAGGTGCCACGCTAGTAGTAACAGGTGCCACGCTAGTAGTAACACATCCACGCTAGTAGTAATGGGTGCCTTACTACTAGTAACAGGTGCCTTGCTACTAGTAACAGGTGCCACGCTAGTAGTAACAGGTGCCACGCTAGTAGTAACACATCCACGCTAGTAGTAATGGGTGCCTTACTACTAGTAACAGGTGCCTTACTAGTAGTAACAAGGACGCTAGTAGTAGCAGGTGCCACGCTAGTAGTAACAAGTGCCTTACTAGTAGTAACAAGGACGCTAGTTGTAACAGGTGCCACGCTAGTAGTGACAGGTGCCTTACTACTAGTAACAGGTGCCTTACTGGTAGTAACAAGGACGCTAGTAGTAACAGGTGCCACGCTAGTAGTAACAGGTGCCTTACTACTAGTAACAGTAAGAAGATTGCAGGGTTGTTCATTCCTTTGGATTTGTTAAACATGTATTTTGATAATCTTCCTTCAATCGATAGAGAGGATTTAGACTAAAGACTTTGTATGCCCTTGTTCCTTTGCTATGTCCTTTTGACTGTTCCCACCTCAACATCTCGCCTTTTGAGTGGTACAGCAAGTGTTGAACAAGCAGCCTTGTCATCCCTAGTTCCTTTCATGTGTTGATTTGCACGGCTCGTGTGCTAAAAGCAATGTTGATTGGTCGTGTGAATAAAGTAGGGTTGTGCTCCATCAGTTCTCACACTCGAGCGTCAAAAGCATTGTTATGTGCAAGAGCCACTGCAACAGTTTATGCCATTGTTCCCATCGAAGTTCCTCTGACTAGTGTTAGGTTAAAATACAAGTGGTTTGTTTCAGCACGGTTGGGGCGATTGCATGGTTGTTTATTTGGATGTCTTCATTTTCAACTTCGAAAGGACTTAGACGCAACATATGGTTTCTCTGCCTTTTGCTAGTTCCTTTGCCATGTTCTTTTGAGGGAAGTAAATGTTTTATAAAATACTAGCAGTAACGTATTTATTCCTCAGGATTTGTTGAATGATATGTTCTCAAAATTTTCCTCAATTTGATAGAGAGGATTTAGTCTAAGACTTTGTATGATGTTTTGCCATGCCCTTGTTCCTTTGCTATGCCCTTTTGACAGGTGTAGGAAAAGCTTTTTGACGAAAAACCAAAAAAGTACCACCTCAACAGACGTTGACAGTTGAACGTTGCATCTGTTGAACAAGCAACCTTGTTTTTACATCCCTATGTTCGTTTTGTTTCTTCCTTTGCAAAGTTCCTGTGCGAAAACCGGTGTTGGTTGGTCGTGTGAATAAAAGTAGGGTTGTGCTCCGTCAGTTCTCCCACTCAAGCATCAAAGGCTTGTAATTTGCAAAAGTCAATGCAGCAGTTTATGCCTTTGTTCCTTTTCAAGCCTTTGACTAGTGGTAGGTTAAGAACAGAAGTGGTTTGTTTAGCTGAAACTTCATGAAGAAATTTCCCTCAGCCATTTTCACATCCCAAGGTCAAAATTCTTGCGTAATGCATTGCATTCCTTGTCATGCGCTTGTTCTTTTGCACTTGCTTACCTAAAGGCGCAGCCATTGGCTGTCGCCCACCCCCTGTTGCAATTGCAGGACGGTGATACATTCAAGCAGATTGGCAATGCTTTCCATGTCAAGGGAGAGTTGGCGAACGCAGTGACCTTAGCTTTGCTGTGCCCTTCTTGCTGGTTCGTCCCCATGCTTTCGTCGCATGCTTCGTTCAAGTCGTCATCACGTTGCTATACAAAGCCCTTGGCTCAGTTTGATTCATTTCAAAGGTGGATGACCTTAAGAAAGTCCAGAGCTCAGAGCTTGTTGTTGTTCAATCAAACTTGATGCTGTGCCTTGGTGAACGTTGAATGAAGAAGACAAACAAAGCAGGCAGCGATGAAAACCAGAACATGTTTTGTTCAACGCGTGTGCAAGTGCATGGTGGTTATTGTCGTTTTGCCGTGAGGCAATTAAGGCAGAGAAGCCGAACAAAGTGAAGTGTGACGCAGATGAAATTGATATTTTTAGCCAACAGGACGAGCCGCTGTTTATGCCACCAACTCGTTTGCTAGTTGTATTTCAATTTCTCAGCTTTTGTTCACTCGGCTCAGCGCTTTGCGTTGCAATGTCTTTGCTACCTTTTCACTTTTCACTCTTTTGTCAATCGCTGGTCAGGTGAATTTGTCCAATTGTTTTCTTTCACAACACCTCACCCAACCCCTTGCACACCACCGTCTCAACTTGCCTTTGCAGCATTGTGGTTTGCCAGTTTGCTCATCGCGGATTTGCAGGATGGAAGTTGGATTAGGGAAGATGAAGAAGCATCTGTCAATCGCGGCACGTCTAAGCCCGGCACTTGGTGTTTTGTTTTGAGTCTTGAGCAGCTTTTAACCATGCAGGGCTTCAAACTGATGTCAATGTTACGACCTTATGATGTATTTTTTGTTGTTTTTTGCCGCCTCTGAGTTTGGGTCGAGAAACAGCTGTTTTGACCACACTTCAAGTTTGTGTTTTTCCCTCCAGTTTTAAGGACAGATTGCTATGGCTTCACATTGCCATCAGCGTGAGTGCTTTTCTCAGCAGCGTTACGCCTAGCGTTCCACTTGTCTTGCCCTTCTGTGGCTGAGGTGAAACCAATTGAGAGCAAGGGTTCCCAATAGTTTCGCCGAATTCCATCTTTGGAGGAAATGTAGAGTGGATGTCGCTGTGGCATGACCGTGCATCACTCACAAGATATGAGACTTGACACTGCGTTGACACTCTTGTCCAGCAGGTTGTGCACACAGCGGGTGAAGAAACAGTGAACCAAGAAGCTGTTCAAGATACGTTTCACTCGGGCAATGTATACGCCCAAGCACAGCCACGAATCCAACCATGCATCGTGAGAAAAGGTAAGTGCTTGATTTTGAACCGGCTTTCCTGACACTTGAAAACAAAACTGAAGGAATATATATTGAAAATTCGTGGAAAAGAAGTGGATAAAGTTTGGTGTGCCTTTGACAGGGTTAAGCAAGAAGGGGGAAAAGTATGACAAATTTCGCGAATGAAATTAAATATTACTGTTTTAGGGTGTTCAGACGCCTGGGCGCCACTAGGGTTTCTTAAAAAAAGAAAGTCAGGTGTTTGGTGTAAGTCTGTGAAATTCATTTTTACACACTGAGTCAAAAAAGTTCAAAAAGAACGGGAATCAAGCGCAGTGGAATCTTAGTGAAGTACTAAACTTAGGGTCGCAAACGCCATGGCGGAACACAAGGTGGGAATGTGGACCAGTTTCAGCTGATTCACATCAAACTACATTGTACATTCTACATGAAATCAGAACCCAGGTTCACGGTATCCAGGTGTATAAAGCACAAACCAGGCGTCAAACTTTTGCAGGTCACACACACCTCTCTATAAACTCATATGGACCAGGTTCAGTTGATTGTAATGAGGCTAAATCTGTCAGTATTGACATGTGGCGGAAGAAACCAGTTGAGTTTCATGCTCAAATCCCCGACTTAAGAAACATGCTTTTGCTTCTTCATTTTGCCTGGCCTCGCCTGACCGACCATGCTTGACCTCCAACCCCCCAGCAGCGACGCGCGAGAGATGCGTGTCCAAGGCTGGCTGTGGCTTCGGGAGGAGCAGCTGGAGCGGCCGCTGGAGCGGCCCGGAGGCCCGGAACGGGCGGCTGCTCGACGCAGAGCACGGAGCGGGCGTGAATTCCCTTGGATGAGGTGTATTGCCATCTACAACCTGGGACGTTCTCGGAGTCCTCTTAAAACGGTTGAGGAGAACCGGAACCGTGACCCCCCGTCAGTGAGAGAGTGGTGGTTCATGATGGGATGAGGCGAAAGAAGGGCCGCTCAACCGTTTTGGGCTGGATGGCACCGCTGCGGACGACCGCTGAGCCAAGGTCGATCATGCCAATTGAGCTGCTGCACTTGCAGGGCTTTCCTGCAAGGTGCCACAGTACTTACGCTGATGGTGCTTACCAGATCGGCCTGATACTTGCTGACCATTCTAAAATTGCTCAAGCGTCATCCACACGAAAAAGCGCATGTTGGCCCATTCTATAGCGGCGAGCTTGTCGTCTTAAAAGGTCTGCTTGTGATTCTTTGTTGCCAGGGATCCCTTGTTGGCCAAAGCTCTACAAGGCTTGACCGAACAGGATGGGCTTTGCTTCGCATTTGCAGCCAAGAGGATGGGCAGGGTCACGAGCTACTTCTATTCTAGGGTCATGCAGCTTGCAACTTCTGCTTGGCTCAGCGTGGCAATCCTCGGCTCTTGCTGTGCTTTGTCTCTGAAATTCCTTGGCCAAGAGGGCCAGACAATGCAGGAGGTCGTCATCGGAGCAGGCAATGCCATGAGCGCATGGGGCTTGGACCTGGCTATCGGCCATTCCATGCAAAGTGGGGAGGAAGAAGTAGAAGGAGGAGGAAGGAAAGGAGATGAAGCAGAAAGAAGCAACAGGAGGACGACGAAGAAACAACAGAAAGAAGAAGGAGAGCAGATGTACTTGTAGGTGGAAGAGGGCTTGACATCGTACTCTGTGAGAGGAAGTGGTGAGACTCTGTGACGGCTCTTTTTGGAGTGTCTCTGAGGTGCCTGTCATTGGCGCAGTCTTGGCAGATGTCTTTGTCAAGACTTTGGTGGGAAGGCTCCGTAAGCGGGGGCTCGATGTGTTTGTGTCACAAAGCTGTATTTGACGTAGACGGTAGATGTTCCATGATGTTCCCCTGAGATAGCGTGAGTTGATGCTCAGAGCGATACGCTTAGAGTTTTTTCATGCCGACAGACGACGGGCCGACGAAACTGCAGAATATGGCATCAGCCTTCTTGGATTCGAGAGAGCCTGCAATTCTCCAAAGCTCACCTGTCCAACCGGAAAAATGTCCGACTGACTCTCCTTGAAAAGACCACCGGAAGGGGAAGGGTTCCCACCTGTTTGGTCTGCAGATTTCATGGTCTTCCTTCTGGGACCGCAGGCCATCCACTTCCGGAGAAAGCCCACCACTTCGCTCCCCGCGTCGTTGCGGCTTCCCACGTCTGGTGTGTCAGGCTGGATGTCGCCATGGAGGTCTCAGACTCCGAAGACTTGGAGGATGACTTGGGAGCGGCCTGGCTTGAAGGCCACCCCAGACACGCAGAGATACAAACACATTCGTGGCCTGCTTCAGCTTCATTGTTATTTTTTGGCGGATGGGAAGCAAGAAAACATGGTCAATCATGGTCAATCCAAATGACATGATATCAAGACATGAGTGACATTTGCTGCTTTTCTCGCAGCCGAGGTGGAAACAAGCTTTCCTCGCTTCAAGTGTGGTTGCTGGCTTCATCTCAGGAAGTGGACAACTGGTTGAATGAAGCCGCCAGCTTGACCCGGTTTCGTATGCTCCAAACCGATTTCACCTCTCATCAGATCACCGGCTCCGCTGGCATGATGCCCGCCGTATTAGGCACTGCTGGCATTTACATGTCCTACCGTATCCTAACGTTTGGTTTTTTTTTTTCTAGTGCCCCGCCGTGTGTGTGGTAGAAAGGCCTTGTTACTATATCAATATATTATATATATATATATCTCCCTTTGGGCTTGTAGCAGTTAGTAGTGAAGCATTTGTCCTTTAAACCTGTTGTTCGTAGGATGTTTCGTATCGCTGTCACCGGACAGGAGGCTTCCTGATGGCCCCGGAGGGCGGAGCCCTTAGTGAGAGGAATTGGGTGAAGGCAGCCATCGGCATGCCCCTGACTCTTTCAAGCTATGACAATTCTTTGGACGACTGATCTGTTGAGTGTCTGATCTCTTGGTGAATCAATGAGCAGCATGTGTATATTCATTGACTGATCACATCAGAATATGCGTTTGCAAATGTTTGCAATGAATTCTGATCTCTTGGTGACACATCTTCCAAGTCTTCTTAAGTCGCTTTGTCAGCCTTGGTATATTTTTCAGAGCCCATCGCGGGCACCACCCCTCATCCGCACTCAGGGGTCCACATAGACCAGGACCTTGTGTGTGGGGAATCGGAGCGATCGCCTTGTCGATCGCCTTCGATCGCCTTCGGCACGCCCGGCGAGGCGCTTGGGTGGCGTGGGGGTGCATTCGGGACGACGGAGCGAGAAGCTGCTCTTGGGCCGTGATGCGAGGCTCTCGGGCGGATTGGCAAGGCAGTTTCCTCTGTGTTTAGTGGCCGGTGGCCAAGTTTTGATCAAGCAGCGCTTTTTGTGTTTCTGGCCAGTGGCCGGTCTTTTAGATTCCTTTAGAAATGTTTGGATTTCTTTGAGATCCAGCATTTGCATATCGATCTTTTTTGCGTGCCCACCTTCATGCGCGGAGGCGGGCATCCGGGCTGCTGATGGAGGCGAGCATCCGGGTGCTGAATCTCAACAGGAGTTGAGGAGCTGCGCCCCAGATGCGGTCACTTACACTCTGGAAGAGACCCACATGGAACCTGAAAACCATTGGGTTGTAGAGGAAAATGCTCTTCCAAAGGTCCATGCCACCAGGTTCCATGTTCATCTTCCCGGGTGTACTTGCCCGATTCTCCCGTCCCAGGCCGAGCGAGAAGGCTCTTCGGTGGTCAGCCGAGTGCATGCAGAGATTCTTCCAGGCACAGAAAAAACAAGTTGCCTGTCCTTGCAACTGGTCTCAAGTTGGGCCATATTTTGTTCCGACTGTTCAATCGGAGGCCGGCAGCCAGGAGAGGCCTTCTTGCTGGGTGCCTAGTCACCATCGCATGTAAGGATACTTACGGATACTCAAATACTTGGGTGGCAGTTGTTCCACAGCAACTTTGGATACTCTGACTGACTAAGATGTAACATGGAAGTGGACGAATACCTGCTTGATCGCCTTCCCGTGGGCATTTTCCCTTTTCATGTCAATGAGTCGGGGTGGAAGTCTTGGCATGTCACTGTGGCAGGATCGCCCGCTTCGAAGGAACCTCCGTCGATTCCGGGCGTTCGATCCACCCTCGTGGAGCGCCAGCGCTCCCTCCGAGGCGGGACCTGGCGAGCACCAATGGCTCGTGGGTCCTGGGCAAGGGAAAGGTGAGTCCTGAGGATGTGGAGGGCGAGGCCCAAAGATGCGAGGAGACGGCCGACGATGGACGACCTGGGGATTCGGGCTCCCCCACTCAAATCATCTCAAATCCAACAGACGGAACCGTTTGGGTGAGCCGGGCGATTGTTCCACGGCCTCGGGGGTTCAGAAGAACCGCGCCAGACGCCGCCCATGGTTTTGGATCCTCGGAGGCCATCTCCCCAAGGAAATGGACGTCGCGCCGAGTTCACAAGAGCACCGGTGTGCTCGTCTGCGAGGTGTTGGCTTCGGGTGATGAGATTTCGTTGGGCGTTGATCCTGGCAGCTGGCAAGGCACTGTTCAGCGGGGGATGGGAAGAGACACTAAGGAAGAACATGAAGAACAGGATTTGAGGAGCAATTCACGGCACGGATGGCGTCTTGTTGCGGCACCTGCTGGCCACATGACATGCCGTGCGAGACATGGGCACAGGCGGTCCTGATCCCAGTGACTTTCGGTTTCTCTTCCGCATCGAAATGCGCGGGCGCCCGGGTCGTCATCGTGGAGGTGGATGGGTCGGAACATGGGTTTGGGCGGAGCGCGAAACGAGCGAAACGGGCGGAGTGAAATAACTGATTCGACCAGAGAGGAGGGGAGGATTTCACATACTAAGCCTAAGCCAGCACGTCAAAAGGATCTAATATGACATATCTTTCAAGCTCTTCAACGTAGGTCTCGGCTTCGGTACTTGACAGACGAACCCAGGGAGGGCGGCAACATGTGCGGGAAACCTAGGGGCCCCAAGAGGCTTGAGATTTGTTAAGGCCAGCTATAACATTTCGGAAGGTGCAACTAACTTGGTTCTGTCCGTTCTTACCTGGTTACCTGCAACAGTCAGTAAACAATTATCACTAGTCACTAGTTTTGAACAAGGCTTTAACTAACCATCATCATCCACTCTGGCAACAGGATAGACTGTAGATGCAACAACTAGCTATGTAAGTAGCACGACAGCTAGGTACTGTAGCACAGCTAGGTAGCAGCCCAGTGTTGCCACCGGTCCTTGGAGCCGCATCCGAGCCTCGCACGGAGCCTCGCCGAGGCCCAGCCCCAAACGGCGCCGCACGGGCGGAACCGCTGACCGCCCAGCGGTTCAGCCGGACCTGCCCCAGCCCCCGCCAGCGGCCTCGCCCCGGACACTGGCGGTGGCCGCGACGAAGGACCTGCCTTCGGCCGCGGAGACCATTGCCGCGCTGGAAGAGTTGGAAAAAGCGGCTTTGGTAGGTGCTTGGAAGGCTGAGAAAGAGGTGGATTTGATTTCAATTTCTTATTCAACTCAAAGGAGTGCGGCAAGTGAAGTCGAACACCCGACCTAACATCAGTGGGGTGATGGAACCTAGTTGTTTTTCCATGCTTTTCCTGAACTTGTTTTTGCTACGGTGACCTTTGCAATCCTTTGGAAAGAGCCACAGGTTACCACATTGTTGCGGGCCAGGCCATGTTAATGTCAGTGGTGAGGAATGGAAGACTCAGTGCATCGAGCGATGGACACCCCTTGCAGTAATCAGCGATGGACATAAGAGTCATAAGAGTGAATATCAATGAATCATAGGGCTGGGAAGTGTTGTTACAAACGTGGTTGCTACAGATGAGAAGTCAACAAATGGAGTTATATATATTTATTTATTTACACATACATATAACATGAGGTAACTTCCGTACAGGCATTGGCCACCCCAAAACCACTCTGGGAATTGGCAAGCCAGTGGCTTAGATCGGGGTCATCCACTTTTCAAGCACTTCAGGCCACGATGGGGAATTTCGGTGACTCTAGCATCACCAAAACCATACTGAACTGCCGAAACTCATGAGCCAATGCCGCTGGGTCTTCCAACATCCACCTCAGCAGCGCCACGTTTGCGCCACCTGCGGGGCAGCTGGGGCTGGTGGCTGCTGGCGATCTGGGCCTTCAAAGTGAGCTTTTCCGATTCAGGCTTCGTGACTCGGCTTGCAGCTAGCTCTACCAGGCAGTCAAGTAAAGCTCAATGTCGACGTATCAAGTATATATTTGTGTGAAATTAGTGGTTTTCTTCATGTCCATTTATGGTCGTGCTAACTTGAATCATATGGCTTGGCCATCTCTGCAGTTTCTCAAAGCGTTTTAAGACACGTGAACCTTGGGCGGCCATCCACTTCCGGTGCATCTGCCGCTGCACCAGCGGCATGCAATGAAATGGAAAAGGCAAATCCCGGCATGGCAGATTGCATGTCTTTCAGAATTTCACGAGTCTTTCACAGAAATCTCCAGCGCATTCGCTGGAACACATCGACCATGGAGAAACTGCAGATCAAGTGGCAGATCAGATAATCAGATGGCTTTGAGACAAGCAAGTTCTTATATTGACATCAGTTTCATCACAACCAACCCACAGAGTTAGGCTTATTGATATTGACGGGCATTCAACGCAGCACACAATCAATCAAATGATGACTATGACTGCAATAGGCTTCTGAGAGGATGCTCATGGGTGCTCTCTCCATAAGAGCATCGCGGGCAGGTCAAACAATCTAATTAGTATGAAAGGAAGGGACTGTACAAATAGATACCTATGCCTATGCCTTATGCCTCATGCCAACCACTACGAGGGTTCATATAGGATGTGGATATGTGTTTATCTACCTCATTGTTGCAACCTCCACGAGGTCAATTCTGCCCAGCCAACACTGCGGAATCGGACCCTCCGCGGCATCGGCGTCTCCGGGGAAGCGCGGGGGCCGCCAGTCCCGGCGGCCGCCACAGTGGAGGGTCAAGAGCTGGAGGAGATGCTGTGGAAGGCCTCCCGCGAAGCGGAGGTCCGGCACTTTGGCAGGAAGTGTGGCCCGTGCCGATTCCGAAGCTCCGCCTTGTTGAAGGTGTTCGTTTTGTGCTCCACGAGTGGAAAGACCAACAGGAATGGCTCCGGTGGGTTCCACCTGCACATCCTGCACCTGCCCACCCGGCGGTCGCTGTACGGGTCGGACCGGGGTCGGAAGGGCTTTGCACTACGTTGGCAGTGATGGGCGGTGGCGTTCAGTGGCTTCCGGTGCCAACAAGAAGTCCACTAGTAAGTCTAGCAATGCACAGACATAGCATCGTAGAATTCCCTTGCTTCTGGGGTGAGTTGCAATGATGTCACTGTTCGCTCCTTCAAGGCTTGAGAATGTGGCTGGAGGATGCTGTTTTTTTTGAATGAAAGTACTGTGGTCGTCGCCGCCCTCGCGCCCTCGCCATCGCCCTCGCCACTCCCCCCCGGCGAGGGAAGCCATGTTCAGCCCCTGAGGTTCTTCATGAGTTACCAATCCTTGGCGCGCAGGGGCCGTGACGGAAGCGTGCCAGGCGGGCACCGGGGAGACCCGAAGGAGGTCGTGCAAGGCGTCGACCCGGAAAGGGGGACAGGGGGAAGGAGCACCAGAGGTTTTGGAGGTGAAGGAACGATAGAGCTATACACATAAGTCTATCTATTGCACTCCGTCTCCAAGCCAATTCCCAATCTCTTCCAGCTAATTACACAGTCATGAGAAGAGAAGATGATCTCTGTGACGGAACTTAGGTAATGGCAGAGCTAGACTCACAAAAGCTCAGGCCTGTGTCTCTTCATTCATCAACATTCATTTGCCATCCTCTACCCATTGAGGAGTTCCGAAGATGGTTGGACGACTTGAAGCTGGATAGCTATGCAAAGCAAGCGCTGGTGTGGGCAGAAGAAATGGGGGCCTCTGACTTGGAAGAGGTCCTTGAGAACCTAGAAGACTTCATGGAGAAGATTGGTTTGGGAGAGAAGTTGGCGACTTTTCGCAAAAAAGAAGGGTTGGGCACGAAGGTTCGGCATTTTGGGGAGTGGGTGGTTGTTGTTTTTTGGATGCTTTTGGATTTGGCTCAAAATGGTTGTGTCTTTCATCTTTGTTCCATCATTCACGTGCTGTCGTGCCTGTCTCCCAAGCCTTCTCTACCCCACTTCGGTGCGATGCGACATGTGACAGGCGCACATGCTCTGTTCGGACCTCCGGATGTATGGCCATTGGCGTCAGACAGAGCGAGATTTGGTGGACACTTCTTTGGTTGGGTATCAATGTTTCTGGCACATGAAAGCTACTTGAGTGGTCACACATTTCGACTTTGGGTACACCATCCCATTGTATGATGCTCGGCAATTGCATGGTTACCGACCCACGTTGTTTCTCTTGTTTGTGGGGGGGGGGTAGACTAGAAGCAGACCGTGTCAGAGGTGGTGTACTTTGGTTTCCCCCGCAGCCATTGCATCGATTCCATGTCGCATCCTTTTGCGAGATTAACTTGATCCTTTTGTTGGATCTTCACATTGCTTCCCTCAATGGAAGCTTTTAGCTTGCTTTGCCCAGGAAGACGAGGAAGATATGGAGGCCTTTTATGCCAAGGCTGCAGCTGCAGCTGAGCAGATTCAGGTGACGAACCGTCCGAGTCTTCATTTGAACTCCAGCGAACGCGAGGACCGGTGTGCGCGGTGTGGGGGGACGGCCCGGTGTTTCAAGCGAAACCCGCGTCCCTTTCCGAGTCCATCGGTTTGGTCGGTGGGAACCATCCGCTGGATTCACATCGTCCACCGCCCCTTCGGGCCTCGTTGTGGGCGATGACATGAACGTTTCATGCTTACTAAGCGAGCGAGCTAAGTGCCCCTCCCTTCCGACAGGCCATCTCGGATCTGAGCTGAGATGGAAAACAAGACCCTTTGGATCCGGTGGCAGGTGCCACAGGATCCAGAGGTTTCTTGACTTCCATCCTTGGACATGATGCTGAAGCATCACTCGACTCTCCTCCATTTGCTGCAGGAGCAGCATGCCAAAGGCAAACTCCACAGAAAGCTTTGCTTGCCTGAGCCAGTAAGAAACGATGACAAAAGATTCAATTTGTTCCAAGGCCTATATACAGTATAAATGAAGTCTTTGGGTAGCATTCATATATGCATTCATGATGTTTGTCTTCATTGAATTGCTATGGACTTTCGTTGTCTCCAATTTTTCTTCCCCAAAACCAGGATTTGTGGCATTTCTGGTCTCTCCGCCGCCCCGGCGTGGAGCTCTACCGCGCCTTTGACGCGCGCGTCGCGGAGCTCGCGGAGCCCGCTGCGGCCGCTGGGACGGGCTCCTTGGAGGAGCGGCTCTCCACGGAGCTGCGAGCGCGGCTGGAGGGAGATCTGCGACGTGGCTCTGATTGGACGAGATGAGTGTGTTTTGTTGAAAAAACCGTTGACATGAGATAGAATAACATAGAATAACTAACATGTTTGATGATGTTTCTGCTCCTTTAGAATCTCTTAGAAGACTTGTGGGATGGATTTTGGATGTGTTTGTTCAGAAGTAACTTTAGGTGGATCGACGAGGGAATTCCTTTGTTCCTGCTTTCCATGTGCATCAAGCAAATCCAATAGAAGGTACATGCGGCATGCATGTTCAGTTAATTATCCGTATTTTAGAGAAAGGCCTGTACTAGCCACCATCATCTGCTGTTACTGGCAATTGGATAGACCCAATCTATAGCCCAATAAGTCCACTCAATCACTCATTTTCATGCATAGTGGAGTTCAGCAAAGCAGCATTGAAGCAAACTCGACGATGAAAACGGCGTTTTTTCTGCCTGAGACTTGTTCGCTGCTCGGGGTGGTTGGGAAATCCAGGCAATATTTGGTGGTGATGAGGGAGTACCATGCGCTGCATCTTCCTCGCTTGCCTTCTTTGGACCTTCGGCAGTGGCGCTTTGGACCGTCGTTTTTCGATGTTTTTCGCCTGTGACCACCGCGGTCCGCCGGGCATGGCCGCAGGCAAAAGAATGAACAGAGGATTTCCATCCACAGGCCTTCAACATCCTTCAACCAAATTCAACTCAAGCAGGGCACATAAATCTATATACATTTTCTTCGCTCCTGACAATAATCAGGCCACCTTCCGTTTGTAGAACAAATGGTCAATCCAAGGGGCCATGCCATCCACTTCCCTGATTATTTCAGGGGGTGTATACATCTAAACCTTCTAAAAGAGGCCCCAGCTGACTTGTGCAAGTCAGCCCAGTGTGTGCCATGCTTTGTGCCTTCGATCACCCTCCACAGGTGGTTTGGCAGGTTGATGAGTGTCCTTTTCAGCCATCACGTGGTCCTTCTGTTTGGAGGAAGAAGGGCCGGATCATGGGAAAAACAAGGCTTCCTTTTGGGGGTCTCCTCCTCCTATTTGCCACGCCCATGTCCGCGTTGCCATGCCCATGTCCCCGTGGTGGCAGCACTTCCCCACCCCAAAAGACACAGCTCACACGGCGACTCGCCGTGACTCGCCCCACCCGTGCGGACCGCGCGTGCCACAACCATACCACCTCGAGGAGTCGTCGAACGGTACGTGGACCTTCTGCGGCGGCTCGGAGGAGTGGCTCCGCCGCGCCGACGGCGCCGCAGCGCCGGTGCCGCTGCCGCCCCTGGAGCGGGCGGTGAAACGCACCATGCAGGACGTCCGACCGAGCGGAGTTCCGAACGGAAGCGGAGGGCGTTGGGGGATGGGTTGGGGGAAGAGTGCCGCCTTGCGTGGTTCCACAAAGGCAGTCGAATGTCTCGCTAATGGTGTGTCGTCCAATGTCCGCAGATGTTCGGAGTGTGGTTAGATGTCAGCAATGGAGCAATGCCTTTGGCAATTGCTTGGCCGGAAAGCACTCCAAAAGAATTCCACTCTTGCTGGGGGTGCCACTCAATAGATCCAAGAGTTTCAGTGGCAAGCGTTTTAAGATGTTTTAAGGCCTGCTCAGCACTAGATCGTTTGCACTCGATCATTTTGAGCGTGCTTTGTCAAATCTACCAGCACTGATGAATAGTGATGGGTGGAGGTCGGAAATCAACTTGAGGGAATCACCATGGTTCCTTGAGGGGCACAATTGGCGCTGGCCTGTGGTGGGTTGACTGGGGGATTGGGGTATTTTGATCCAACTTCCCTTCAACGGATAAATGATGATCCCCGCAGCCCTACGCTCTTCCAGCGTTTTCTTGGTATACTGTCCTGCAGTTTGCTCAGTGGAACCAAAAAGCCACTGCGGCTGGTATTCGGAAGATGGTCGAAAGAGTCAAACGGACGGCAAACGGACCTGCAAACCTGTCGGCACGTCCGCTGACATCGCTGACAGGAGGCGATCCTGGGAGGACAACCGCGTGGGGCGCGGTTTTTGGAGACCTATCTGGCCATGGAGCGCTTTCACCCAGAGGACCTTCCGGACTCTCCCTGTGAGGTGGTGAATGTCTCCAAGCAGGCCGAAGGAATGCACGTCTCGGCTTTTTTGGCTGTTTTGGGCTGCGCATGGGAACTGCATCATGACTCAAACATGGAAAGACTGAACCATGCCAACCGACACTCCAGCCAAATACAACCAACACTTTAAACCTTGAAGAAACTGCCTGTTTGCAGCTGTTTCCGAAGCCGTTTCTATGGAACGGTTCTCAGTCCCCACTTCTTCCTCCAGCGGTAGCATGGAATCTGAAGATGATCGTGATTCGAGTTCTGGCAATGTTACAGATTCAGAGTCTGTTGCTGGGGAGTCTGTCGATGGGGAAGCCAACTTGGCTTTGGCAGAGAAACCTCAGACCCTTGGCAGTTTGAATTCCATGTCACCAACAGAAATCACTAGGGGACAAAGAAAGTTTCAGAATATGATTTAGCTGCCAGCATGCCTAGGAAGCGCATCGCCCCTGACATGACCCTGACCACCAAGCAGCGGGAGCATCTTTCTGGCTGGGGAAAGGACATGCTTCGCAAATCTGGTATCTTGACAGATCTTGACAGCGTTCATCCGCCAGTGCTGACATTCTGAAGCCTGAAGCTCTCCGAGGTAAAACCAAACCCAAGTTTGCCACCCAAGGTGCTAGCGCACTGGTTCGATCGCTTCCTTTCAAGCTCACATTGATGTCTGATTGCATCTCGGCTTCAAAGTGGAGTGGATAGAAATGGGGGTGTGGTGCACCATCTCTGCATCATCAAAGGTGCTGGAGCGCTTGGCTGCTATTGGGGGATGTCTGAGGTTTTCGGAAACAAGGTCGGGTGTGATGCTGATGAACACTTCGAGGGTGAACGCTTGGAGTTGCTTGAACAAGTTTGAACAAGTGTTAAGCCAAACAGCCTTCGACTGCCTGGTGCAGGTGAAACTCGTAGCAGCTGCTGACAATGGACTTGCTCCATTAAAGTTTATCGTGAAGAACTGCCGCCCTGAGAGGTGCCAAAGTTGTTTGTGTATGTGAGTCCCATGTAGCATCCCTTGAATAAGAGGATTCCCTCATTGCAATCCTTGACAGGCTCTACACCAATGTCAAGGACAGGCACTGTCTGGAGACTTTGAATGTCATGCTATACGCTGCGGGATTTCTATGCCAACCGTTTCTTGAACAAGCTGTTGGAACAGTAGTGCACGAAGATTTGTGAAGATTCCCACAGTCATACGCATGTTCATTCTCAGCAGCCTAAGTTCTCAGATGTCCTCAGGTTTAGCCGGTTGCGACAGTCCACCACCCATTTTGATGAGAAGCAGGGGGACATCCTGGACGAGTGTCTGGGTGCAATCCTGAGGCTTGGGATTTCACAGTGCTTCCATGCAACCATTGCTGATACAGTATTTTTTGAGGCACCCAACTCACTCACCAGTGCTATCCAAACCCCAGCATCAGTTCTCACAGGACCTCTCCATTGGCCTGCACCCTTGAGAACGTCTAATGGGATTTTGGATGTCTGGGATCAAGTATCTTGACAGCAATGGTTGGCTCAAAGGTGCACTTTCACTAATCCAGGAATCCAGGAAAGACCTGTTTATTCAAAATAGCCTGACCTCCCCCAGGTCGAGGAAAAGCTCGAATCGTCTGGCATCAAGAAGTACTTGGTGGGTGTCTTGAAGATGTGTCCATCCAAATTTGGGGAGCCGGTCACGCGACGAAGGGTTTACATCATATTGTTGCGAAAGACCCTTGTCCAAGGATAGTTGGAATATGTTGGAATGATGTTGCACTGCTTGTTGTTGTTTCGTCCAGGAATTGGCTTGATTGACAAAAGAATGCCAAGCTAAGGGATGTTTCCAAGGATACAATCCAGAAGGATGCGGTCTTCCAAGCTCTCGCTGAACATCACTTGGAACACATGAAGGTGGACAGTTCTTTGACAATCAGGGTGTCCAACCCTTACTTTTAGAATCATTTTGTGATGTTGATCTTCAGCTTCAAGATGTTTCAAGTCAAGCTTTTGCCAGAACCCTTCTTGACCCATGGGGCCCATACTGAGGGAAGACTTGATGCTAGACAAGAAGAGCGAGTATGTGTCCCATGTGCTCTCGAACTGGCGCAAGAGCATTGCCGGTCAACCGGCCAAGCCCAAGATTGATACTACCAAGCCGTGCCTCGGCTCATGTTTGCAAGCCTGCCGCTCGTGGCTGGTCTTGGGGAAGGGATGGCAAGTTTTGATCTGAGGCCAAAATCTGGAAAGCCACGTTGGGTGGAAAAGCACATCTTGAAAATGAAAGAACTGAAGGCAGTGATATGCAGTGATGTTGAGTGTTGCAACTTTTCAAAAATATCATGCCCAGCATGCCCTACTATGCCCTACTATATAATCAACAAATGTGTCGCGACTAATCCCTAAACCGGCCATAGCTGACACAGGTGAAACCGAGGGCATTGAAGGAATGCGGCCATGTGCGTCAGTACTACAAGACCCAAAGGGTTCATCACGCTTCTAGGCTCAACTGGATGTGCTTGCATCATGTTGAATAAAATAGTGGAAAACCCAGGCCCATTGTTGTGAACAAGTGAGGCTGCCGACATCAAGACCACCGCTGGGTTCCAAGGAATCCTCAATCTTTCTCAACAACTGGACCGTATGGGTTCAAATGAGAAGCGCTGCCCATGTGTAACTCCAAAAGCTGGTCTCTATAGTATGCGGCAGCGCAGGCCATTTACTGCAGGAGATGCTATGGCTTTTCAAGGCTTCCCCTTGCAGAAGCTTGTGTTGAACCACCTGGATGAAGAAGAGTCTGTGCTGCAAACAAGTACCAAAATCAATGTTACAACTCTTTGTGTTGTTTCAGTCAGTGGCTCACACCTTGTCTAGAATTTGAACCTGCGCAAGGAAATGCATTCGCTTGCAGGAAATGTCTCTTGTCACCAACTATTTTGCATGTACTCTTATTCCTGCTTAGTGGGTACTTCCTCAACCATCCTGCAAGATTGATCATTTTGCAATGCCCATCCGAGCCCACCCCATCACCTTCGAGGCCATGAACACCAAGTGCGTGGCCTCTGCGATTCTGGCAGCCCTCAGCTGCGCCGACGTCGGGTTCTTTGTCCGGGCGGCCCGCTGCAAGAACGATGCCTAAAGGCCTAGGCTCTAGATGAACAGATGTGAAGGGGGAGAAAAGTAAAATGTGATTTCTGACCTGTATCAGCTGTGCAAAGCAGTGTCATTGCACATCATTGTCATGGTCCATCCACAATTTGGCAACTGAAATCCATGCTTTTATGTTGGTTTCTTTTATGCATGCTGCTCAAAGCTGCAAGTAGGTCCAACATGGAACCAATGTTTGAAGGGAAGACATGGAATACACGTGTTTCTACTTTGAAAGTTCTAGTTTTTTCTTGCAGCAATGAACCTGAAGCGGTATGACGCGGATGAGCCTTCGTCATCGGCATCGTCTTCGCCAGAGCCCAAACGACGCCGGTGTTCTTCCTGGGATGAATCACAATCGGAGTCTGACAGCACTAGCGGGTCAGATGACAGCACTGAATCTAGGACCCTTCATGAAGTGGATCAGAAACCTGAAAACAGGAGTGAGCTTTTGCTGACACAATTGTCTATGTTTCCTGGGGAGGAAACTTGGGAGTCAATGGCAGCTTCTAACGGTAAAGATCCCAGTAGAGTGAAGGGCGTCTTGAACAAGAACCTGTGTGCCTGCAAACAGCGTTGCTATCGTTTGGTCACCTTCAACATGGTGCTCCAGCTTTGCCAATCGTTTTGGGCTTTGAACAAGAGTGCCCAAGACTGCGTGCTTTGGGGTATTCAAAACATGGCAAGCAAAACTGGCTTGGTGGACGAACCCTCTTCATCTGGCAGTGGAAGCGATTCAGAGTCATCATCTACATCTGACATCCCTGTCAAGAATTCCTGGTACATACAAGGTCTGGACTAATTTCTGAACCGAACTGTTTGCAAGGATGATATCTTTTAAGAGGTCTACCTGTGTTTGGCTCTCTGGTCCTTCTCTCAAACCATCCCTCCTCCCATCCCTGTGTCAGGTGTCAAGATTTGCCGTGAAGCCTTTTGCAAGCTCCTTGGCGTGGGATCGTGGAGATTGGTCCGAACCAGGAAGAACTTCCAGGGAGAAGACCAGAGAAAATATGGCCGCTAAGTTGCAAACATATGCATGGAAACATATGGAGACAACAACATGATCGTCCTGTGTATGCCCTTTTGAGATATTTGAGGATCTTTGCATTCTCGAGATTCGAAAGCGGCTTCCTCCGTGGTATCAGTCTTGGAGAAAACCTACTGGAGCTTGGGGGAAACACTTCCTCACGAGTGGCTTGGTAGACTTGCAAACTGCAAACCAAAAGCCTTTGGGTTCTTAACAAAGACACAATCAACACATGTAAAGGGGATGTGTTAAGGTTGAAAGTCCATGATCCTGACAAGCCATACGCTACAGAACCTGATCGTGAGAAGCTGGTGGAGCTTTTGGCGAACTCGGCTTTGGAATCAGATTTGGCTAGATCTGTCCTGCCCTTGGGCCCTGACAAAGTGATCCGGCGATATTTACCACCTGGAAATTGGTCAGACATCTACCATCTTTATGTGAGTTTCCAAGCATCACAGGGACTCGATTGTGCATCCCCTAGCACCTTCTTCAGGGTGGTGCGGGACTCTGGATGGAAGAGGGCCCTGAGGTTTCGGCCAGTGTCCCAGCACTCAGCATGCCCTATTTGCCAGCGCCTAAAGGCAAGGTTGAGACACGCCAAAGATGTGAGTGCCCATGCATCTGCTGCAGACATGCTCATGCGGCATTTGAAAGGGCAATTCATGGACCGATCCATTTATTGGAGCCAGCGGACTCGCGCGAAGCGTGACACGGACATCCTGGTGTGCATCCAGGATTCTATGGATAAGGGAAAATTTGCCCTTCCTAAGTTTGTTGACGGGCGAGTTCCCAAGCACCTGGCTACATTGAACCGCCCTGTTCTAGAAGTTACTGCCAACATCCTTCATGGAAGACTGATCTACATA